ATAGGTTCAAAAATTTTTGGGAGAATCCATTTTTTTTCCCCCCCCCCCCCCCATTACATTATTAATGTAATGTAATATTTTACATTACATTACTTTATCATGTAGAACTTAGACTGAATGTTACTGCTGAAAATTCTAAGGCTGTATACGTAATCAAATTCAAATTTTTAAATTGAGATATGGCCTGGTGTTTATTTGAACACCTTTTACACTTTTTAAACATCATTTATTTGATATCTAAGCAGCGGCAATATGAGATAAATGCATATTAGACAGTTCAAATACCAGTATTTTTCAATATATTTAATAATGATATAAATTTGATTAAAAATTATATAAATAATATAATAATTATATATAATAATATCCACAATTTTTACCCATTTGTGAAGCCCTACTAACTATCTTACATGTCATAATTTATTTGACATATCATTAGCAAAAAAATGTAACTGCTTTTATTTATTTTTTCAAATCACCGATCACTTCTACAGTCTGTCCTACAAACTTAAATATGTGCAATGTAAATTGTAGTGGTTATAAACACTTAAGGAGTTATTATTATGGTCCATAGTGTCAAACTGGTGTTGTCTAAGCATTCATTAATATATTGATTCCTTTTCTGGGGGAAGATCTGTGGAAATACAGATGGAGAATATGAAAATATATGGGCACGCCAGGACATGCTCCCTCCAGATTCATTTGGGATGTTTGCATTACACGTTTTGAGTTCACAAAGAGGCTTCTGTCTTGCTGACTCGTGTCAGTATCACAAAAAAACACTGCCAACCTTGCTGTGCCAGTCTGCCATGCTGAACCGCTTAGCTTTAACATGCAGTCCACAGAGAGAGACAAACCTTGTGCTGAATCCCATATTAGGGATACGCAAAATTCAAAGCCACACACACACAGTCGACTAGTCTTAAAGGGATAGTTCAATCAAAAGTGAACGCTTTATCATCCTTTATTAATTCTCATGTCATTTTAAAATCTTTATACACTACTATTCAAAACTTTAGTTTGGGGATCCACAAAAATTTTAAGCAGCACAACTGTTTTCAACATTGATAATAAGAAATATTTCCTGACAAGCAGATCAGCGTATTAGAATGATTTCTGAAGAAACATGTGACACTGAAGACTGGAAAATTCCGCTTTGGATCCCAGGAATAAATTACATTTTAAAATATACTCGTATAGAAAAGCGTCATTTTAAATTGTAATAATATTTCGCATTATTACTGTTTTTACTGTATTTTTGATCAAATATCTGCAGCCTTGGTGAGCATAAGAGATTTAAAAACCATTACAAAATCTTACCAAACACAAACTTTTGAATAGTAGTGTACTTTTTTTTTTCTTCTGAAAAAGAAACAATTTTTGAAGATTTTTTTTTTGGGTCCATAAAATGAAAGTCAGTGGGGTCCAGTGTTGTTTTGGTGATCCAGTTTTATGTTCCACTGAAGAAAAAAGTCATACAGCTTTGGAGTGACATAAGGGTGAGTATGTGAGTATATCTCCTTTATAGGGGAGATTCCATCAGACGCACATTTATGTTGACTAGTCAGTTTTGAACGACTAGTCGACCATCGTGATCCATCCGTATCCTATATTACTCTCTTTGTATTCTTCTATGCTCACAGTTTTTATCTCGTATGCTCTGCTTTCTTCGTACATACTATGTCTGATCCATCCCACTGCTGTTTATTTGCCCGCCTGCCGTTGGCCAGCCTGAATGAAATGTCAGGATGTGTCAGCACGAGTCCGACGGCGTATGCTGTTGCTCTCGCCAGCTCATCGGCTTCTGTCCGTCTGCGCCACCAAAAGGCCACGTCACTCTCGGCCTCCGGACACACCTGCCGCGCCACCTTGCCGCTCAACGACGGCACCTCTGATCTCTTCAAGCCCAAGTAAAGACGAGTTCAGCGTCTGTCTCTAATCTTAGTGTGTCTCTCCATCGCACTCCTCTCTAACGCCCTCTGACCTCTCTGCTGTCTGCGTCTTTGATTTCCTGCCACCCTCGTCTCATCCCTGTAGTGTCAGGAGGACTCGTCGTGGAGCTTCCGTTGCGTTTTAACATTTGAGGAGTTCCTGCATCTTCCCATTTAAACCGTTAACTAACTTCCTTGTGTCTAAACCCACTAATATAGGATGTAAACTACATTAACCTAGTCAAAGACTAGTGAAAGGACTGTTGAGATGTTTTCTGATTATTTTGATCAGTTTAGTGTGCAAGAAATACATATGCAGATTAAGAATTTTGTTGAGCACAGATTGCTAGGGTTAAATTATGGTTAAGTCACTATTATAGATATATGCCAATTAAATACACTATATATGGAAATTAAAACTAACAGACCTATAATAGCTTCTTAACCAGTGAATTTTTTAAAAATATGTTCATAATTAATGTGAGGATCTAAACCTGTGGTTGTTCTGCTTGGAAACCTGTGTGAGTTTGAGGAGAACTGACTACATATATCCACTAAAAATCAAGAAAACACTGCTTTATTAAAAGCATTCACATAAATTATTTCTGAGAAAAGTTCTAACATCATTTATTTGCATAGTTATTGTTTTGGTTTGCTATTTTGTTACATTCTGTTGTAATATTCAATGACTTGTAGCTGTGGTTTAAAGGTATAGTTGCTTAAAGAGATTTTATTTCATTTTTATTTTAAAAAATGCAAATTCTGTCATAATTTCTGTGCCATTTTATTATTATTTATATACCGTTATAGTATTTATTAATATTTTGAATTGGCTTTTATTTTTTATATCTTTTTTTTTGTTTTGTTTTTTTTTTTTGCCTTTGTAATTTTTTATTTAGCTTTCATTTGTTTTTATTTTAGTTTTAGTAATTGTAGTGCTTTAAATTAAACTTATTTTATTTCAGTTAGTTGCCAAGGCAACATCTTAGTTTAAGTATTTTTCATCAAATACCGGTAGTTATATTTGATTAGATTTTATTTCAGCTTTATTTCAGTTAACGAAAATCATTTGTAATACTTTGTTAATAATATCAACACTGAATCATTTACTCAGCCGCATGTTATTTCAAACCCGCATGGCTTTCTTCTGCAGAACACAAAAGAAAATATTTTAATGCGTTTTAAAATATTGACTTTTTTTATTGTAAAAACATTTTTCAAAATATCTTCTGTTGTTTTCCAAAGATAAAAGAAAGTCATACAGGTTTGGAATGATATGAGGATGTGTTAATGACGACAGAATTTTCATTTTTTGTGGTGCACTATCCCTTTAAGTGTCCAAAGACCACCTGGTTGTAAATGTAATCAGTGTTGTTAGCTGATTTTCCTATTTCATCATACTGTGACCCTGATTCTACTCTCTTCAGTACGAGCGTGACTCAGACGAGTCAGCGGAACCCCGGTTCCTCCACGCACAGCATTAGTAGCGCGACTCCCCCGGACCGCCTGCGTTTCCCACGAGGCACGCTAAGCCGCAGCACTTTCCACGGAGGCCAGCTGAGGGAGCGACGCACAGCCACCTATAATGGACCCCCTGCCTCTCCAACCTTATCGCACGATGCCACGCCACTCTCACAGTCCCGGAGCCGCGGATCAACAAACCTCTTCACAAAGCTCACATCCAAGCTCACGCGCAGGTAAACAAACACTTCACCTTCAATACAACTATAACAAGCCATTATTCCCTATGGAACGTTTTTAAAAAAATACTTATTTTTTATGTTAGATATAAATAAAAAAATATTTATATCTAAAATATATTTATTTAATATATATATATATATATATATATATATATATATATATATATATATATATATATATTTCCCCCAGATATATGTCATACAGTATTATTCAAAAGTCAGTAAGATTTTTTTTTTATGTTTTTTTTTTTTATATATATATATACTTATGCTCCCCAAGGCTGCATTTATATTTAAAAAAAAAATTTTTTAAGTAACATTATGATTATTTTAAATATTATTACTGTTTTCTATTTTAATATATTTTCAAATGTAATTTATTCCTGTGATGCAAGCTGAATTTTCTGCAGCCGTTACTAGTCTTCAGTGTCACATGATCCTTTCAGAAATCATTCTAATTTTTTTCAAAATTCTTTGATGAATAGAAAGTTCAAAAGAAATGCATTTAATTGAAATAGAAATGTTTTGTCCCTTTTGATGCATCCTTTCTTAATAAAAGTTTTTAATAAAAAAAATACATACAGTATATATAAAATCTTAGTGTAGTGTAAATTGCCATTATTAATTGAAGCAACTTTCCCAAAAAGGAAAAGTGTGTCACGTGGTTTGGGTTAAGTTGTGCCAACAACCGCTTTCAGCTTTATTCTCATTTCATTTAATAGCAGATATCCAGAAATATGAATATGTCAAAAATAATGAAGATCAAATATTTATAATTATCCATATTCATTTTAAAGCTATATAATTTTTCCCTGCCCAGAAGACAGCTTGGGTAAAAAGTGGCACAGCTTACCCCACACTGCTCCACATTATGTCCATCTTTCTTCATTATGAGAGCCCTTCCTTTTAAATCATGTTTTTTTTTCTTTCTTACCAGACAAAATGAGCTCAGTTGTGTCCACTGCATGGAATCTATTTAGAACAGGAAGTTGAATCATAGGGTACAGGGAGGGTATCTGTAATACCCTCTGTCTCCTCCTCTCCCATTTTATCTCTCCACACAGGTCCATTTTTAAGTGCATGTCCAATATTCCTCTCCACTTACACAGGACATTGTATCTGTCGTTGGCGTTCTCTCTAACATTGGCTTTGATACTCTCTCTCTTTTGTCCTAGGATGTCTGAAAAGCTATTGTTGTCTTATCTTTCTTTCCTTGATCAGCTGAGTCTCAGATTTACTTGCCTCTAAACTATTTTTCTCTTTTTCATCCTGGTTTTTAAAGAGTGCCGGCAGAATGCGATAGAAATGGGAGGTATGAGGATTCAAGGTGAGACAGGACATCTGGTTTTACAGTTCTGATTTTATACCATCTTTTCTTTGCTTTTTGGACATTTGTGACCCTGGACGACAAAACCAGTCATAAGGGTCCATTTTTTTAAATTGATATTTATAGATCATCTGGACAATATTTGGCCGAGATACAACTATTTGAAAATCTGGAATCAGAGGGTGCAAAAAAAATCCAAATATTGAGAAAACCGCCTTTAAAGTTGTCCAAATGAAGTTCTTAGCAATGCATATTACTAATCAAAAATTAAGTTTTGATATATTTACAGTAGGAAATGTACAAAATATCTTCATGGAACATAATCTTTACTTAATATCCGAATGATTTTTGGCATAAAATAAAAATCAATCATTTTGACCCATACAATGTATTTTTTGGCTATTGCTACAAATATACCCCAGTGACTTAAGACTGGTTTTGTGCTCCAGGGTCACATTTAGTCCTAACATTACTCCACAGACTTAACCTCGCTGTTTTGAATAAATCTACAAACATACATAAACTGGCATATGACATGATATCCCAAAGATCAAGTGCATTGAGTTTAACCATAGAGGTTTATGTGAGCCTCTGATAATCTGTTCTATGAGTATTCATTTATTCTGATCTGTCACAACAAAAGTAAGCTTTTGTTTGCATTGGCATCTAGCTCTATTGCTCCCCCATCTTGTGGCAAGAAGAAGAAAGTGATGCATGATTATTAGTGCTGTTTGCTAAGACAAGAGTAAAGGTCAAAGCAATGTTGCTCATATTTAGGGATAAGTGTTTGTTTAAAATAGTAACACTAAAATCACTCCCAATACCAGCCACAACACTATGTAACATCATACAGTGGTTTACTTGTGAAGTTTAGATTCGAATCTGAGCTTGGAAACATTTTATAGTTGATTAAAATCACACCTCATGGCCAGTTTAATGAGTATTTTTCTTTCTATTCTTATTTTGCTTATATATAGTTTCTGTATCTCTGCATAGGGATTTTTGTGTTCACTGCATGTCAAATGCGCTCAGGTGCTTCAGTGCATGTGTTGTCACTGGAAAGAGTGAAAAGTTATGTAAGAACTTGTTTTTATGTTCATTTACCCACACCAGCATCCTCATTACGACGGTCTGAAACAAACGAGTATGTGAACGCAAAGACTTCCAGCTATGCAAGCTCTGTTTAATGCTGTTTATGTTTTGAAAAATGTAATTTATACCTGTGATGCAGAGCTGAATTTTCAGCAGACATTACTACAGTCTTTTTTTTCAGGATTCTTTGATGAATAGAAAGTTCAAAACAGCATTTATTTGAAATAGAAATCTTTTGTAACATTATAAATGTCTCTGTTGTCGCTTCTGAACAATTGAATGCGTTCTTGCTAAATAAAAATAGTTATTTCATTCAGTTAAAAAAGGACAAGAAAAAACCATCAGCCCAAACTTTTGTATGGTAGTGGATGTGGTGGTGAATTATTAAATTAAGCCACTTTCCCAAAAAGTAAAGTCTGTCAGTTTGGATCTATTTAATGCATCCTCGCAGAGTAAAAATATTAATATCTTTATTAAAAAAAATAAAAAATCAGCAACTACACACAAATAGGTTAAATTTAATTTTATGAACAAACAGCATAAAAGCTATTTGGAATCTAAAATTCACTTGAAATTAAAAATCAAAATAAAATAAAAACGGTTGTTTTTATGTTCATTTACCCACACCAGCATCCTCATTACGACGGTCTGAAACAAACGAGTATGTGAACGCAAAGACTTCCAGCTATGCAAGCTCTGTTTAATGCTGTTTATGTTTTGAAAAATGTAATTTATACCTGTGATGCAGAGCTGAATTTTCAGCAGACATTACTACAGTCTTTTTTTTCAGGATTCTTTGATGAATAGAAAGTTCAAAACAGCATTTATTTGAAATAGAAATCTTTTATAACATTATAAATGTCTCTGTTGTCGCTTCTGAACAATTGAATGCGTTCTTGCTAAATAAAAATAGTTATTTCATTCAGTTAAAAAAGGACAAGAAAAAACCATCAGCCCAAACTTTTGTATGGTAATGGATGTGGTGGTGAATTATTAAATTAAGCCACTTTCCCAAAAAGTAAAGTCTGTCAGTTTGGATCTATTTAATGCATCCTCGCAGAGTAAAAATATTAATATCTTTATTAAAAAAAATAAAAATCAGCAACTACACACAAATAGGTTAAATTTAATTTTATGAACAAACAGCATAAAAGCTATTTGGAATCTAAAATTCACTTGAAATTAAAAATCAAAATAAAATAAAAACGGTAACACTTTACAATAAGGTTCTGTTAGTTAATGTATTAACTAACATGAACAAACAATGAACAATACATTTATTACAGTATTTATTCATCTTTGCTAATGTTAGTTAATGAAAATACAGTTGTTCATAGTTAGTTCGTTAATTCACAGTGCATTAACTAAGCACAACTTTTGATTTTAATAATGCAGTAGTAAATGTTGAAATTAACATTAACTAAGATTAATAAATGCTGTAGAAGTATTGTTCATGCTTAGTTCATGTTAACTAAAGTAGTTAACTAATGTTAAATAATGAACCTTATTGTAAAGTGTTACCATAAAAACTAGTGGCACCCTAGAAAAATGCAGTAGGATCAATGCATTAGCCAAGTGTTCATGTTGCCTACTTGTGTACATTTCTGCCATTAATGTTCTCATGTTCACTTTCACGAACCAAGTGTTTCCCATTTCTCTGACCGTTCTCTCTTCTCTCCTGCAGTCGTAATGTGTCTGGGGATCAGAAAGAGGAACATAAAGACGCCAAACCCCGCTCGCTACGCTTCACCTGGAGCATGAAGACCACCTCCTCCATGGAGCCCACAGAGATGATGCGCGAGATCCGCAAAGTCCTGGACGCCAACAACTGCGATTACGAGCAGCGTGAGCGCTTCCTGCTTCTATGCGTCCATGGCGACGGCCACGCCGAGAGCTTGGTCCAATGGGAGATGGAGGTGTGCAAACTGCCCCGCCTCTCGCTAAACGGCGTGCGCTTCAAGCGGATATCAGGAACATCCATCGCTTTCAAAAACATTGCCTCGAAAATTGCCAACGAGCTGAAGCTGTAAGGAAAAAGAAGTTGAAAATGTGAAAAAGCAGCAAAAAGGACTAAGGCACAAAACTAGAGTAATCAAGCTGTACATTCTTTTTGAACAAGTAGCAGATACAAGGATTGTTTTCCTTAAACACTTACAAAGTATGTACTGAAAATATTGTATAGAATCATGCCTTAGGCAATAATTTCCTGCATCTTTGAAGCATTATTAATATTATTATTGTCGTTATTATTGTGGGATGGTTTCAAACGGTAGGAAAACAATGACGGTTTCATTTCTATAATTATTTTTTTTCCGTTTCTGCACTACTGCAGTAGGTACCCTGTGGGGCCAAAACAAATGTAACACCAGTGACTGAAAATGTGTATTTTTTTTAACCAGACAGACAGAAGAGGGACGGTTAATCACTCCAGTATTTTTTTTTTCTTTATTGTTCCAGCCCTTGAATGCCAAAACAAAATGGCCAGCATTGATTTAGATAGGAAAGTGATTTGCACATTTCCCCTAAAAGCACCATTCATCTCCTTTACATCCATTCCCTCCGCTTTCCATCAACCCCCGTCCCTTTTCAGGATATTCCCACCTGTTGATTTTTAGTGCTAGACTGATGACTGATGACTGAAGATGGACAGGATCCGACAGATGCTGGTGCCAAGGAGGCGACTTGCAGCCTCAGGAGCAAGTGCACTTCAGGAAACCTCCCGGATTCAGACGGGCTACTGCAATGGAACGTTAAGAATGAGATCGGGAACGTTTTCCTTCCCGGTCTGTTAAAGTATTTAGTTTATTTCTTACAAAGTGTTTTTTAAACGTCTGAAGAGATGACGAAATGCTCTCAGATGTTCTTGAAATGTCTTTGCTTTGGCTCCGGCCCCCTTAAGAGATTTCTTGATTGCGAACAGGTGTGGCAGTAATCAGGCCTGGGTGTGGCTAGAGAAATTGAACTCGGGTGTGATAAACCACAGTTTTAACAGGGGGGCAAACACTTCTTCACACAGGGCCATGTAGTTTTGGATTTTGTTTTCTCTTAATAATAAAAAACCTTCATTTAAAAACTGCATCTTGTGTTTACTTGTTATCTTTGACTAATATTTAAATTTGTTTGATGATCTGAAACATTAAAGTGTGACAAACATGCAAAAAAATAAGAAATCAGGAATCAGGACACCACTGTATATATCTTTGCAAGCTGCCACTGTCTATCTCTGGTATATCACCTGATTTCTTACATAATTTACAGCATCTTATCTATTATATAACAGCTCTCGAAACTCATAAAAGCTTTTGCGAGAAAAGCATCCAGCCCTGAACTTCGTCTGTCTACAGCTGGGTGAGCTCATGCACATCCTCCTCCTCCTGTGCGATTTCTCCTTAAGGACCCACCAATGCAGTAATAAATACTTAGCAATTTTGTTGCTAAATTTAGCAACTTTTCAGACTACCCTAGCAACAAATGTAGCTATTTTTTTTTTTTTATTTGGCAGCTTTTAGCAACTTTTGATAAGTGACTCAAATGATAAAAAGGCACAATTTACCATTTAAATTACACAAAAAGAGGAAACCAACTTAAACTGTCAATTAAGTTGGCTGCTATTTGCAATTGTTTAATTTAATAGTAATAATAATTGAATACTGTTATTTTTCATTTATGAGACACTTTGTTAGTAGCTTGTACCTGTGATTGTTGATGAGTTAGTACACTGTAAGAAAAATATGCAGAAAACCTGCTAGTAACTTTCCAGGACATTATCCGTTATCCGTTGTAACCCGAAAACACAAAATACAATGCGTAATTAAAAATGCAGGTACAAAAACCTGTAGAAAAGTAAATCCAGAAAATTCCTTGATATTAACACAGTAGATTGTGCAGTATTTTTTTTAACTTTTCTTAGAGTGCAGCATACTAACTAACTACTAATAAACTGTTAAAAAAAAAACTTCCCCTGAAAATTAGTCGGCAACACTGTGATTCAGTAGTGATGTGTTAGTGATTCCTTTGGGCGAATCGGTTCTAAACGACAGTTAGCTTAAAGAACCTATTCAAAATGAATCATATATATGATTAATTTCGTTTCTATATTTATCTAAATATGAATAAATCTATATGAACATATATTTGTAACGCAATCAGTCAAATCCTCGATTTATCCTCGGTTGACGGTTCTCTGTTCAGTCAGTCAGTGCGATGTTCACTCGACAATCACTCGGTTCAGTCCGACCCGTAAAAAGCGTTCAATTCGACTCACGAGCGATTTATTCAGTATGATTCCTTCTCAGTCTGAATCTTTTTTTTTTTTTATTATTGCAATTTTTAGAACAAAGAACATATAAGGGCAATAACATTTAAACCGAATAAAAACTGCTCAGTCTGATTCAGCCCACTTCAATTTTGTGAACCGAACCACATGTCTATGGTTCTACCGATGTATTAAAAAGATCCGACTCAAAAGAATGATTCGTTCACGAGTCGGGCATCGCTATGATTGAGCTTTGACCACGCCCCCATTGTTTGTCATCCGTCAGGGGGAGTTTTGCCCGAAAGATCGAGCGCTGCTATTGTGGCTGCTGTTTTTGACAGGGGGGACTCATCTCGTCTCTTTTTCTCGATGTTTCTTCAAACCGCCGAGAGCGACATGCGTTTCAAACCGTCTCGAGACCGACTGTACAGCGCGCGCTGCTGCGGCTGCTGTCACGTGCGGACTGGAACCATCATCCTGGGTACTTGGTACATGGTACGAGGCGTAAAACATTCGTTAAACATAGTCTTGTAGTTTCAAACATAAATGAAATACAAGAGTAGACTTTCCTCCCGTAGTTTAGAGGTGTGTCTGTGTTTTAAAGTGCGTCTGTGTGGATGTTTTTCCTTGCTCCGCCGCGTTAGCTCGATGTTAACGAACAGCTAGGCTAACTCGATGTTTTGAATTGGAGCTATCAACAAATAAGACACGCAAACGTGATTAGACCTGTTATACGTTTATTAAACACGTTTTAAGAACCTTGTCTGCGTATTGAAGTAGGATAATTTGATGTCGCGGTTATTTTAAGGCGTTTATTTATCATCTATTTGTAGACCGCTAACGTTAGCTGAGGCCCGAGGTTGAATTGACTAAAGTGTCATCAGTGTTGGCAAGGTTACTTTGGAGATGTAACGGGTTACAGATTACAAGTTACTCCGGTTAAAATGTAATAAGTAGTGTAACTATTTCAGTTACTTTATTAAAGTAATGTAACTGATTACTTTTCTAATGAATGTTTTCAGCTGTTGTTAATCATTTTCAAACTTTTAAACCAGGTAGGGTTAACCTTACAGTAGTATTCAACACTGATTACTGTCAGACTTTCAAAATCCACTTGAATTAATATTATAAAAATTTAAATTTCAAGCACAACCAGCACACAATCAGACTTTAGCACGTCATAACGAGATCTAGTTTAATAGCTATTATACTGTTTTTGAAATCAAATCTTTGCATAGCGAATGTCAGGAAACACTGGCATCTAACAATGCCTTGGAAAAAACTATCGAATAAGCATGTGTCCTATTCTGTGTCCTAAACTTTAAACATTGGTGTGTCATATTTTAGAACAGCCAATGCATTTGAGGAAAGAAATCAATTAAATTTGTATGTGTGTGTGTACTGGTTTAACTATAATTGTGAGGACCAAATGTCCTCACTTAGGCCTAAATAGGGGAAGATCATGACAACTCACTAGTGAGGACATTTGTGACCCTGGACCACAAAACCAGTCATAAGGGTCCATTTTTTTAAATTGAGATTTATACATCATCTGAAAGCTGAATAAATAAGCTTTCCATTGATGTATGGTTTGTTAGGAGAGGACAATATTTGGCCGAGATGCAACTATTTGAAAATCTGGAATCTGAGGGTGCAAAAAAAACTCAAAATATTGAGAAATTCGCCTTTAAAGTAGTCTAATTGAAGTTCTTAGCAATGCATATTACTAATCAAAAATTAAGTTTTGATATATTTACAGTAGGACATTTGCAAAATATCTTCATGGAACATGATCTTTACTTAATATCATAATGATTTTTGGCATAAAAGAAAAATCGATCATTTTGACCCATACAATATTTTTTTGGCTATTGCTAAAAATATACCCCAGCGACTTAAGACTGGTTTTGTGCTCTAAGGTCACGTTTATAAATGCTTGGAAATATAGAAACATGTGCAAAACACTAGATTTAAGTAAAAACTATGTTTTTTTTAAGGGTAGGGGTTGGGTTAGCCGATAGAAAATATAATTAACCTGATATAAAATCAATGGAAGTCTATGAAGTGTCTCCACTAAGATAGCAAAAAAAGTTTGTATGCGTGTGTGTGAAAATATTCAGATGCAACCCCCTTTGTAATTGTTAACATTTTCATAAGTAACTGTAATTTAATTACGCATTTTTTGCAATGGATTACAGTTACATTTATTTTACATAAATCTGTTACATGTAACCCCAACACTGACTGTCATGGGATTGACATTCAATTAGTTGATAATTTGCACGAAATACATTTAGATAAAGTAAATTATCTAGAATTACATAGCTATTCGTATATATTAGAGGGTAGCTTTAATAACTGTATATAGTAGTAATTAGGGTGTCGACTAGATTTTAAACAAACTGTTGCTTGGCAAGGTTTATGAATACTTTTGAATAAAATGACACTGGCAGTAATTATTTAATCTGTCTTTAACTGTCAGTGGAAAATGTTATTGTAAATAATTGTATACCAAAGTCTGGACCTTGGTGTTTCCAGAAAACCAGACCACATGTTTCCATTTAAGATTGACTGGTTTTAATTTCGGCAGATTATTTCACATTTGTATTTGTTTATTTTTTATTATTATTATATATTCTTAGTAAAGATTGGCAAGCAAATGTTTTAAGACCCTGACCTCTTTTTTTCCTTTTGAATTCCACTAACAAAATATGCAGGAAGTCACATGACACAGTGAATGATTTGAACATTTGGTTTTATTTATTAGGCTGGTTAAATATTATGTCCTACTATCCCATCTGTACTTTCTTTACTAATATAATCTCACTCCAAAGGTGGTGAACCTGTTGATGGGTATTCTGTTGACTGTGGCAGTAACTCACCCTGAGAACGTCCCTACTGTTGACCTGCAGTATGAAGTCATTGAGCATTACTTTGCCTCAGACAGGATGTCAGGTACGTTCATTAGATATTTTCGATAATTAAATGCTGTAAATCTATATTTAATACTAAAACTACAGTGGCATGTAATTCTACTTTATTATTTTTTTTAAATGTTTGGTTTATTTTATTTATAATCTCTAAAATGATACAATTTCT